CGATAATGTCAAAAGCCGCACTGAAGTCCAACAAAAAGCCCCCACAATCTTTTTATCATCAATTTCTCTCAGCCAATCATCATTTGTGTAAGTGCTGTGCTTGTTGAATGTCCTTCTCTATAAGCATGGTGAAAGTTTGTTGTCAATTTGTTTACTGTAAAATAGCATTGTATCTGGTCAAACAAATTTTTTTCCAATAGTTTACTAAGGGTTGGTAACAGGCTAATTGGTTGGCTATTTGAGCCAGTAAAGGGGGCTTTACTATTCTTAGGTAGCGGAATGACTTTTGCTTCCCTCCAAGCCTGGGGGCACACACATTCTAGTAGGCTTAAATTGAAAATATGGCAAATAGGAGTGGCAATATCGTCCACTATTATCCTCAGTAATTTTCCATCCAAGTTGTCAGACCCCAGTGGCTTGTCATTGTTAATAGAGACAACAATACTTTTTTCACCTCTTCCACACTCACTTTACGGAATTCAAAATTACAATGCTTGTCTTTCATAATTTGGTCAGATATACTTGGATGTGTAGTGTCAGCGTTGTTGCTGGCATGTCATGCCTAAATTTGCTAATCTTGCCAAAGAAAAAATTATTAAAGTAGTTGGCAATATCAGTTGGTTTTGTGATGAATCAGCCATCTGATTGAGATGGGAGAACCTGCGAGAAGGACATTAGTCTCTACAGCAATTCACCAATCTGGGCATTATAAGAGAGTGGCCAGACGGAAACCACTCCTGGGAAAAAGGCACATGACAGCATACCTGGAGTTTGCAAAAAGCCACGTGAAAGACTGAGATCATAAGGCAAAAGATTCTGTGGTCTGACCAGACAAAAATGTAACTCTTTGGCCTGAATGCAAAGCGCTATGTCTGGAGAAAACCAGGCACAGCTCATCTCACGTCTAACACGATCCCTACCGTGAAGCATGGTGGCAGCATCATGCTATGGGGATGCTTTTCAGTGGCAAGGACTGGGAGACTGGTAAGGATAGAGGAAACAATGAATGGAGCCAAATACAGGCAAATCATTGATGAGAACCTGCTTCAGAGAGCCAATAACCTTAGACTGGGGGGTGAACATTTACGTCCCAACAGGACAATGACGCCAAGCATACAGCCAAAGCAACGCTGTAATGGCTTCAGAACAAGAATGTGAAAGTCCTTGAGTGGCCCAGGCAAAGCCCAGACTTGAACCTATTGAAAATCTGTGGAAAGACTTGAAGATTGCTGTTCACTGCCGCTCCCCATCTAACTTAACAGAGCTTGAGAAAATCTGCAAGGAATAATGGGAGAAAATCCCCAAATCCAGATGTGCAAAACTGATACAGACGACTCAAAGCTGTAATCGCCACCAAAGGTGATTCTACAAAGTATTGACTCGGGTGTGAATACTTACAGTATGTGCATTAGATTGGATTGTATTTCAAAAACATGTTTTCACTTTGTCATGATGGAGTATTGTGTGTAGATGGGTGAGAAAAATATATATTGAACAAAAATATAAACGCAACATGTACAGTGTTGGTCCCATGTTTCATGAGCTGAAATAAAAGATCCCAGAAATGTTCCATCCATACATAAAGCTTATTTCGCTCAAATTTTGTGCACAAATTTGTTTACATCCCTGTTAGTGAGCATTTCTCCTTTGCCAAGATAATCCATCCACCTGACAGGTGTGGCATATCAAGAAACGGATTAAACAGCATGATCATTACACAGGTGCACCTTGTGCTGGGGACAATAAAAGGCCACTCTAAAATGTGCAGTTGTCACACAACACAATGCCACAGATGTCTCAAGTTTTGAGGGAGCGTGCAATTGGCATGATGACTGCAGGAATGTCCACAAGTGCTGTTGCCAGAGAATTTAATGTTAATTTCTCTACCATAAGCTGCCTCCAACGTCGTTTTAGAGAATTTGCCATTATGTCCAACTGGCCTCACAACCGCAGACCACATGTAACCACGCCAGCCATGGACCTCCACATCTGGTTTTTTCACCTGCGGGATCGTCTGAGACAAGCCACCTGGACAGCTGATGAAACTGAGGAGTATTTCTGTCTGTAATAAAGCCCTTTTGTGGGGAAAAACTAATTCTGATTGGTTGGGCCTGGCTCCCCAGTGGATGGGCCTTTCTCCGAAGTGGGTGGGCCTATGTCCTCCCAGGCCCACCCATGCTGCGCCCTGCCCAGTCATGTGAAATCCATAGATTAGGGCCTAATTAATTTATTTCAATTGAATGATTTCCTTATATAAACTGTAATTCAGTAAAATCTTTGAAGTTGTTGCATGTTGCGTTTATATTTTTGTTCCATATATGAACTTTGTAACTGTTTTAAAATCACCAATGGCCTCATGGTATCATCCCTGAGCAGTTTCATTCCTGTCCTGCATGTCAGTTCAGAAGGACGACTGTATCTTTGACGTGTCTGGGTGGTTTAATACATAATCCACACTATAATTATTTTTCTGACAATGCTTAAAGAGATATTCAATGTCTGATTTGTTATTTTTACCCATCTACCAATCACTGCCCTTTTTTACAAGGCTTTCGAAAAGCTCCCTGGTTTTTGTAGTTTAATCTGTGCTTGAAATTCAATACTTGACTGAGGGACCTTACAGATGTTGTATGTATAGGGGACAGAGGAAGGGTTAGTCATACAAAATCATGTCAACCCCTCTTATTTTCACACAGAGTGAGTCCATTTAACTTTTTATTTGATTTGTTAAGCCAAATTTGACTCCTGAACTAATTTAGGCTTGCCTAAACAAAGGGGCTGAATACTTATGCAACGACTGACTATATTTTAGTTAATTTTGTATTCATCTTTTTTAAAAATAGAATTGTTCTTCCACTTTGACATTAGAGTATTTTGTGTATATTGTTGACAAAAAATGTCAATTACATCCATTTCAATCCCACTTGTAACACAATAAAATGTGAACAAATCCAAGGGTTCTGAATTATTTTGCAAGGCACTGTATTTCCACACTATGAGGTTGGAATAATACTGTGAAATTGTGAAAATGCTGATAACGCCCTTTTAGTGTAAGAGCTGTTTGAAACGACAGCCTGAAATTTCAGTCTGTATTGGTTGGATTGAGTTTTGGCCTGCCTGGTGACATCACCAGGCGGTAAATTAGTTAATAGACCAATAATAAAGAGTTCCAAACGTCTCTGCCAATAACAGCACATTTTCTATTTTCCCACTCAGACCACTCCTAGACAGTCTTAGCAAAATTGTTGCTTAAGAAATCGCTCTTGGCTAAGAAACTATTTTTAACCATGTTAAATGAAAACAATCACAGTAAGGTACTTAATTGTCACCCCAAAATTATATTGATATTGAGCTAAAAATGGCTGCATTGGACCTTTAAACATCCCTATCTCAAACTTGAAAAACATACCATGCTGCAATAATCAACAATAAATCTCTTTAAAATAACAAATACAACACTTTGGACTGCAGTGTCTCTGTGCATCCGAGGTAAAAACACAAGAGTTTTAAAAACGGATCAACGTGAAAACATACTCAGTGGCCAGTTTATTAGGTACACCCATCTAGTACCGGGTCGGACCCCCCTTTGCCTCCAGAACAGCTTAAATTATTCGGGGCATTCTACAAGGTGTCGGAAACGTTCCACAGGGATGTTGGTCCATGCTGACGCGATGCCATGACGCAGTTGCTGCAGATTGGACGGCTGTACATTCATGCTGGGATCAGCCCATTCCATCTTATCCCAAAGATACTCTATTGGGTTGAGGTCTGGGGACTGTGCAGGCCACTCAAGTAAACTGAACTCGCTGTCATGTTCTAGGCGATGTTTTTCCACTCCTCAATTGTCCAGTGTTGGTGATCGAATGGGCGTGGGCGTGGGCGTCTGCTGTAATAGCCCAATCCGTGACAAGGATCGACGAGTTGTGCGTTCCGAGTTGCCGTTCTGCACTCCACTGATGTACTGCGCCGTTATGTTTGTTTGTGGCCCGCCTGTTAGCTTCCAGGATTCTTGCCATTTCTCCTTCGACCTCCCTCATCACCGAGCTGTTTTCGCCCACAGGACTGCAGCTTACTGGGTACTTTGTGTTTGTCACACCATTCTCGAGAAACCCTAGACACTGCCGTGCGTGAAAATCCCAGGAGGGCGGCTGTTTCTGAGATAGTGGATCCGGCGCGCCTGGCACCGACGATCATCCCACGCTCAAAGTCGCTTAGGTCACTCGTTTCGCCCATTCTAACGTTAAATCGAACAGTAACTTAATGCCTCGATGCCTGTCTGCCTCCTTTATATAGCAAGCCACGGCCACATGACTCACTGTCTGTAGGAGCGATCCATTTTTGTAAACGGCGTGGTATACCTAAAACTGTGTGGTTCGGCAAGGCAGGTTTTGTAGCTACCTCAATCAAAGGCACACTCAATCAGGACAAATATATAACAATGAAAAGAGTGGACATCAACATCATAAAAATCTATTTTCAAGTCCAGCAGTAGACAAATATGGACTCTCAGAAAGGAGGTAAACTGGTGATAATGAGTCCTGTAAGACCACTAGCAGATCACTAGAGGGCGATGCTGGGTTATAAAGACTTGTTCCAGCACTAGTAAGTGTGGGGATCTCCTTCCAAATCAACAATCCTACCTTTATAGCAAACCTCAGCAAGAAATCAATACAGTACAATCAATTAACAATCAAAACATTTATAATTTCAGTGGACTCACATTTCAATGCTAGCAGCATGTCACCCGACATGTCACTGCTAATTTCATCGTTTTAACTGCTGAGGCAAGCAAACAAATAAATGCCTTCTCATTTAGCTGATTGACGTAGGTAATGGATCAAATAATCTCGGCACATAGACAATGGGTCAAAGTACCACAGAGCAACCTTGAGATACTGCAGCTACACCTGTCGCCCCTCACTCACTCACTCAGCAAACAGGGCAAGCAGTGGGTGTGTCATCCTCACACACCTCTGTCCGTCACATTACCAGGATTACCGTGACCGGTTGGGCTCCGGCTCCAACGACCCTGTGACCTGGAAGTGGATGCCGTCCCCAGGCAGTGGGGAGGGGATGAGTGGGCAGAGCCAGCAGACGTACCAGTGGGTACCCAGGCCGTGCCGTAGGTTGCCCAGTACACCCAGGTTGTAGGGTCTGCGGATGGCGTACCACTCCCTGGTGGTCTGGCCTCGCAGGAGGAGGAAGAGGTGGAAGAAGAGGAAGGCTGCCACCAGCAGGAAGCCCAACACACAGGTGTCTGCGATGAAGGCAAAGGCAAAGGCCCGCGCTGTCACCTGACCTGGAGGAGAGGCGAGAGAGGGTCAGAGAATAGTACAACGCTCACACACAAACACACCTCTCTCTGTATTTCACACACACATACACATACACATTCCCTTTCTTTCTCTCTCTCTCTCTCTCTCTCTCTCTCTCTCTCGCTCACATACACATCTCTCACACATACACACCTCTCACTCGCTTGGCTCTCTCTCCCTCTCTCACACACCCTCCCCCTCTCTCCCTCCCTCCCTCCCTCCCAGTCTAACCAGAGACGAGCATGATCCAGGGCATGAGTAGTAGCAGGATACTGTGCAGCGTGACTCCTTCCTTCAGGATGATGATGAACACCTCAGCGTTCATCACTACAGCGTACAGCAGCCCCGTCCACATGAACAGCAGACAGCTGATGAAGTAGCGGTAGTTCCGGAAGCCCACACACTGGCCGAAGAACACACAGTGGTGGTCTCGTCTCAGAACACACACTTTACAGTCATAGCAGTGGGAGCACCGTGGGGGAGTGTGGGTCTCACATGTGTAGCAGTACCTGTAGGTAGAATAGAGGTGTGTTACAGTGTAATAACTGCTGGTATAACAACGTCATAAACACTGGGGAAATAATATTTGAATAATGAGAACAATCTCTGCCCCCATAACATTATCTGAATACCGGCAGCCTATTTATGAGGAAGTACCTCCGGTCATCATTGCATAGTCTCAACACACATTGATGTGATTCAACCAGTCTTAACAATTTGTTTGATGATGAACCATTATGTCTGTTTAGATGAACCTAATGATGAACCATTATGTCTGTTTAGATTACCTCCAGCCTTGCGCCATGCCTTCTGAGCCCAGGAACACTCCTTGAATGCTGGGGCTGGTTTTCAGAAACAGCGACGCGTTCCATGTGATGTTGCCCAACATGAAGTACTGCGCGAAGAGGTGCAGAGTCTTCCACACTGTAGACCAATGGGTCTTCTTCTGGTCCGATTGGAGCGGGGCCTCGACCAGAACCAGGTAGCTCACCTCCGCGGTGATGGAGAACACGAGAACGGTGTTCAGAACGATGGGCAGGTGGCGGCACGTCTTCTCCACGCGATCCCACACCCGACCTGCGAAGCTAAACAAGGTCATGGTGCCTTGTCGGTCTTGTGTTCTCTATGCTTCCTTGTTGTCGCGACTCTGTTGTGATTTTAACTAACAGGATATCTGACAGGCGAATGAAGGGGGATGTTTTTCACAGACGTATCATGTTTGTGATCTGATGCTGACGTTAGCGATTTAGTTAGTACGGACGAAATAATATAAATTTCTACAATTTATCTGTTGTCATTAACAAACACCGGTGTGTGGATAAGCGCTGTGCTATTTTCACCTAATGCGCCTTCATTTTACAAAGGAGTGGAGCTGTCAGCGTAGCCTGTGTTACATGAAAAGACGTCCCCCATATCTATACCTATCGCGTAAATGTTCCGTGTGAAATTACTAAAGGACCGTCCTTCAACAAAGATGTTATATTCCTCTCTGACTACAATTAGTAATGTGCATTTACATTAAGATAAACTCTCCTAAATATGAAAATTAATTATTTACTATCAGATAATCAAATGACATTACTTTCATTTTATGGAGATTATTCATTAGTGTAACATTATTTGTTCTATATATTTTCTTACTCATAGTGATGACAGCAAAAATAATAAGGTTTCCCCAATTCATCTGTGATGACAGTGATGTCCATATGCCCCCTGTTCCTCCCCCTAAAAGAGAGTAATCCATCCAACCCTTAATCCATGTTAATCCCAGGCAGCCGTTTGTGAGCCTTCGATTTCAAAGGTTGGTTGGTTCCTGTCATGCCTGTAGTGAAAGATAAATTATGTCTACCTGGTATATGGACGGTGCCGAGGATAACCGAGGTGGTTATACAAAACAGGGACCAGAAAGTCTGCTACAGAGGTGAGAGTGTAAAACCAGAGAGAACCTCTCATGTATCCTTTTATTTTAGATGATACAGGGGTTGAATGATTGCTGTGACTTGATGTGACTACTAGTATGATATTAATATATATATATATATTTTAACTTGCTTTTTCAACATTGTTATTTTGATTATGAGAAGTATATTTTTGTTTATTGTACAGTATGTAAAAGGACAGAATCTCTCCACCACTAGGGGTCAGTGCCGCCTGTATTATGGAGTAATCCATGTCGGGAAATAAAAATAATTAGAAAATGTTCAGTAGCTCTGTTGTGTGTCTTCCTCCCCACAGTGAGCGCAGGAGAATGAAGCTGCAGAGTGACCTTGTGACCTTACAGAGGGATGAGCGCCTGTGAGTGAGCTGTGTACTTTTTATTTTGGAATATGAATATATAAGAATATATCAGAATAAAAAAACTACTGACACTGTGTGTGTGTGTGCTCGTGTGTGCGTGCATGCCTGCCTGTGTGTGCGTGTGTGTGTGTGCTTACCTGTCTGTGTGTATGTGTGCAGTAGCCGGGCTGTGCGGCTGCAGTGCCGGTGGCAGGAGCTGAGTGAGAGAGAACGTCGGGCCCAGCAGCAGAATAGGCAGCTGCTGCAGGAGTTTGACAGAGCCCAGGACACTCTGAGAGACATGGTCACCCGCACCGCCGCTATGAATACCATAAGAGTGAGGGCACGCACACCACCCGTATGAAAACATTTAATGAACACACACGGCATGCACCACCCGCATGTGGAATGGTGGACATCCTCCTACCTCCACACCTTGACAAACACACACACACACTTACATACACTCTTCACCATTGTCCCTCTCTGGGCCCCCAGATGACCCTGATCCCTAACTGTGACCACTGACCCCTCTAGGTGGAGTATGAAAGGTACCTGGAGGAGAGCTTCCCTCGCTGGCAGCAGCAGCTCAAACAGAAGACACTATCTGCCCAACGCAAGGTAGGCCTACCCTGCCTGACACCATAACAACAATGAGTCATTTATTAGATGTTTATAGATATCATATGAGATGTGATTTGAGACACTCCAGGCTAGGATCATCCTGTAATTCCTTCCACAGCGAATGGAGCAGCACATGAAGGAGTGTCTGAGGAGTATGGAGGAGGATAGGGGTGAAGAGAGGGGCTCCAGACCCCCCATCGGAGCCCAACCTCCACTTTCCCCATGTAACACCAACACACCCTTATACAGTTCATATACCCACCTTACCTCCCACCTTACCTCCCACCTCACTGTCATTTCTCTTTCTTTAGGTCATGTCCAACAGCTCCAGAATGCCGCTGCGCATCAAGAACACCACAACCAAAATGGCCACCAGGACTACATCCAAAATGGCCACCATCATCCCAGCATCCCTTCAATTCAGTCCTCCTGGTTGATTCATGCTCGTTCCCAATTGGCTAATTCCCAAACCAGAATGCACTCCAAACTCCAACAAAGAGACATGACTCACCACCCTGCTCACCCCCTCCATCCCTATTGCCCTCAGTCTCTCCACCCCCCTCAGCCTTACCCTGTCCAGCCCCCTCAGTCCTACTCCACCCACAGTAAGCCCCACATCGTGATCCAGCAGGAGACACCACCGACAGGGTACCCCATGCAATGGCCTGCTGGGGTGGCCGTGGCTGGGCTCCCTTTCAGGGCCCCAGTGGGCCTTCAAACCTCCTGGACCAGCCCTGCCATGCCGGATAGCCAGGGATGGAGAATGGTACAGGGTGTGGCGGGGGAGGATGAGGGGAGGGAGGCCAGTGCAGCGACTAGTCCTGAAGGAGGGAGCAGTGTGGGACACAGACAGAGGAGAGAGAAGAGTAGCGATCTGGCACATGAGCTGGACATCAAACCAGGTAAGAACCATTGCTTCATATAATCTAACTGTACACTAACCAACAATGAACCAGCAACTAAACCCAAGCTAACTGTCAACACTGGCCACACTGGCCCAAGCTGACTGATAAATATAATTGTTGAACTAATCATAACCCAAATGTCTGTGTGTGTGTGTGTGTGTGTGTGTGTGTGTGTGTGTGTGTGTGTGTGTGTGTGTGTGTGTGTGTGTGTGTGTGTGTGTGTGTGTGTGTGTGTGTGTGTGTGTGTGTGTGCGTGCGTGCGTGCGTGTGTGCGTGCGTGCGTGTGTGTGTGTGTGTGTGTGTGCAGTGCGTCTGTGGAGTGGACATGGAGAGAGCAGTGAGAGCAGCAGAACCTCCAGTCAGGCCAGTAAAGAGAGCGTCGGCAGCAGGGAGAGGAGGAACAGGAAGGAGAAGAAGGGAGGAAGAGGAGGACAGAGCTCAACAGACAGGTCCTCTGCAGGATCCGGGGAAGTGGTTATTGCTGTGGCTTCAGTATCTTCTGCCTCTGTGGTACAAAGCTCAGAGAATGATGGGACATCGGTGGCAGGGAGCAACAAGAGCAGGAGGAGTAGAGGACTGGCTAACTCAGTCAGTGCAGAGGAGTCAGGCAGTCATAGAGAGGAATCAGGGAGTCATAGGGCAGAGTCAAGAAGTAAAATGCAGGAGTCAATGATTCAAATGGAGTCAGTGAGTCATAGGGAGGAAGTAGCCAGTGAGAAAGAAGTACCAGAGAATGACATGGAGGCCACAGAGGGAGAAGAGGAGAGTCTGGTTGGACTCAGTGTGGAGGAGGGAGCAACAGTAGAAGAAGAGGAGGAAATTGAACATGACAGAGAGGAGGGGAGAGAAACAGAGGAAGAAGAGGTAATGGGAGAACATGATGGCGAAACAGAGCAAAGAGAAGGTCAGGATGAATGCAATGAGGCAAGTCAGAGAGACAGAGAGGAAGAAGAAGTCCAACCAGAAAGTGAGAATGTTTCTATAAGGGAGCACACTGCAGAGGATGAGGAAGAGGAGGAGAGGGGAGAGGAAGAAGCAGAGGAGGCACAGGACTCAGAAGGGCAGGTAGAGCGCGAGGAGGTGGAATGGAGTGATAGAGACAAAGAGGAAGAGAGCGAGAACGAAAGAGAGGAATCACACACTTCTCAGGACGGAGAGATAGAAGAGGTAGTTAAGGGTAGCAGAGAAGAAGAGGAGGATGTGGGAGCTGGGGGTGAAAGAGATGAGGATGAAAGAGATGAGGATGACGAGGGGTCAGGGGGTGAAGAAGAGGAGCAGCGTTGTCAGGATGCTGAGGAAGACTCAGCAGCAGGGCAGCCTGAGGATGAAGAGGAGAGAGACTCTGACGACAGCATCATCTCACCACCAGAACACAGGTAAAACACACTGATGATGATGGTGATGATGATGATCATAATGATGATGATGACTCAATTGTTATGATTCTCAGGTCATCCAAAGGCCTGGCAGAGGTAGTGGAAGAGGAGGAGGAAGAAGAAGTGATTGATGATAATGAGGAAAATGAGGGTGAAGATGATGAAGGTGACAAAGTGAAGGGGTATTCATGGTCTGTAGATCCCTTTCCAGATGAGGATGATGATATTGAAAGTCTTCTTGCTCCACAGGCAAAGTCTCAGGAAAAACAGTGAGTGTTGTTATTTCTTTGAAAAATTGGTGCTTCAAATGACTATCTCTGGCCACTTTTCTAAAAATGACCTTTGTTGGATTTAAGAGAGAAAGAGAAGGAGAAGACAGTGGTCCTTGTCAAACCCAAAGGTAAGATCTCTGCACACTGCAATGCATAGATAAACTTAAAAAGGTTCGCTTCTCGCCAGTAATATGCACTATTTTGTAACCTAACCTGTGCTATGTGTCTTTTCAGCCATAGATGAAGACTTGGACAGTTTGTCTGAAGTAAAAGCACTTCACAAAAAGAAAGGAGCCAATCAGGACACAGACTCAGAAGAGTTTGATCACTTCTATGACTGACGAGCCGTTTCTTCCAATTCGCCAGAAACCTCAACAAGACATGAGTGACTGCAATACTAATGCCAGACTTCTAAATCCTATACACTTGAAAATGAAATCCACAACACTTGAACATAAAATGAACATTCCTTATCTGTCAAGATGCACTGAAAATAAATAATTTGCATTTTATTAAAAAGAGAATATTGAAAATGTTGTTTTGAGATTGAGAGATATCATTACTACTCCAGCACAGTACGGGGCAGCATACCCCACATGAGTTGAGACTGCACACGCCAAAAACAAATCTTCCTGTGTTGAAGAAGACGCTCTTATCCAATCACGTCTAAGTTGGAGGAAACAATAGAACTCTGGACCATTGAAAGGTAGCTATTGAGATATGTATTTATGGCAGAGTCGTTTCTATATAGTGTAACTGTGTTTTTCAGTCCACATACTGTATCAATATTCTTAACCAAATGTTTGGAATATGTTTGTTTGCTGAAGTGCCTTATCTTGCATGCTGAGCAAGGGAATCAACCTTGGCGGCAGGTAGCTTAGTGGGTAAGAGCGTTGTGCCAGTAACCGAAAGGTCGCTGGTTCTAATCCCCGAGCCGACTAGGTGAAAAATCTGTCGATGTGCCCTTGAGCAAGGCACTTAACCCTAATTGCTCCTGTAAGTCGCTCTGGATAAGAGCGTCTGCTAAATGACTGTAAATGTAAATGTAAAATGAATCAGTCCATTGTCATTGAATAGACAACAAGCTAACGATAAGCCAACGTTTGCCCAATTATACTGTTATCAGAGGTTTGCTGTCACGGTTTCGGCCGAGGCTGCCTCTCTTCCTTGTTCGGGCAGGCTTCGGCGTTCGTTGTCTCCGGAATACTAGCTGCCACCGTTGTATGTTTCATGTTCGTTTGCTTTTGTCTGTTTGTTGTGACACCTGTTCTCGTTTAGCGTAATTAGTGTCCTATAAGTTTCTCGTTGTGTTTGTCTAGTGTTGTGTGTGATTGATTTATTTCTGTCGTGTGTTGCTTGTATATTGCATTTTCGCTCGGTTGAGCTTCACTCCACTGCGTTGGAGCATTTACGCACATGTTTAGTGCGCCTTTATTTTTGTCGCCTTCGTGCGTAGTTTCGCCTTCGGGCAAGTGTGTTCGTATTTTCCTTGTTGGAAATAGTACTAAAGTCTTTTGGACTATACTTCAGTGTCCTGCGCTTGATTCCACCACTACACCCACCTACAGCACTCTTGACAGAATCACACACCTTCAAGAATGGAATCAGCAGGAGCCGCAGCAGCCCAGGCGACGCTGGAGGACAAGGTCCGGGAACAAAGTGACCAGATCCTGCAGATGGGGTCCGCACCACCATCCGAGGCTGGGGGACTCCTCCACCGCCACCCTCCCTGCCAGCACCATCGGCCAGTCAGCCCATTCCTGCTCCGGAACCCCGAGGAGTTCGACTCTCGCTCCCGAGGGCCTACGATGGGACCCGCGGCCGGGTGTCAGGGATTCCTTCTCCAGGTGGAGCTGTACCTGGCCACCGTGCACCCGGCGCCCTCGGGACATGAGAGCGTGTCCGCCCTGATCTCCTGCCTTTCCGGGAAGGCGTTGGAATGGGCCAACGCGGAGTGGAGGAGGATCGACACGGATACCATCACCTACGACGAGTTCTCCCGCCGCTTCAGGGCGGTGTTTGACCATTCCCCGGAGGGGAAAGCGGCGGGGGAGCGTCTGGTCTTCCTCCGGCAGGGGAGGAGGAGTGCCCAGGAGTTCGCCCTCGAATTCCGTACTCTAGCGGCAGATGCAGGGTGGAATGAGCGGGCTCTCATCGATCACTACAGATGTAGTCTTCGCGAGGACGTCCGTCGGGAGCTGGCCTGTAGGGACACCAGCCTCTCGTTCGACCAGTTGGTCGACATGTCCATCAGGCTGGATAACCTGCTAGCTACCCACGGACGTTCCGAGGGGGGTCCGTCCATTTCACCCTCCAGCGCCTCCGAGCCGTGCCCCATGGAGCTCGGGGGCGCTGGCGCTAGAGAGAGGAGGGGTCGGCTTACGAGGGGGTCCATCTCCTGCACCAACTGTGGTCGGGGAGGACACACCGCGGCTAGGTGCTGGGGATGGCCTCCTAGGGGAGAGGACGACAGGTCCCGCACTGGGGATTCCTTCCAGGTGAGTAGGCGCCCCACTCACCCAGAGCTCTCTGTTGCACATTTCTGTATACCTGTGCGTTTTCCACAGGTAGCACCTCATTCCCAGCATAAGGCGCTGGTAGATTCAGGCGTGGCTGGGAATTTTGTTGATAAGAAGTTTTGTTTAGCCTTAGGGATTCCCCTTCTTCCTGTTGATGTCCCTTTCCCCGTTCATGCCCTAGATAGCCGTCCGTTGGGTGCAGGCTTAATCAGGGAGGTCACTGCGCCACTTAGGATGTGTGCGCAGGGGGGTCATCAGGAGATGATTCAGCTATTTCTGATTGACTCGCCTGCGTATCCGGTGGTGCTGGGCATGCCCTGGTTGAGTACCCATAACCCATCTATTTCGTGGCAGGAGAGGGCTCTGATGGAGTGGTCTGCCCAGTGTGTGGGTCGATGTTTGGGCGTTTCCGTAGGGGCTACCTCGGTGGAGAGTCCAAACCAGGTGCCCGCATTGCACGTTCCCCCTGAGTATGGGGATTTGGCTATTGCGTTTAGTAAGTCGAGGGCGACGCGGTTGCCGCCCCATAGGCAGGGAGATTGTGCGATAGACCTCCAGGCAGGAGCTGCGCTCCCACGGAGCCATGTGTATCCTCTGTCTCAGGAGGAGAAGAAAGCTATGGAGATTTACATAGACGAATCTCTGAGACAAGGATACATACGGCCTTCCACTTCCCCTGCGTCCTCGAGTTTCTTTTTTGTGAAGAAAAAGGATGGTGGTTTACGCCCGTGCATCGATTACCGTGGTCTCAATCAGATCACGGTGAAGTATAGTTATCCACTCCCGCTGATTGCGACCATGACTGTGTCTTTGCATGGGGCGCGTTTCTTCACGAAATTAGATCTCAGGAGCGCGTACAACTTGGTGCGCATCAGGGAGGGCGATGAATGGAAGACAGCCTTTAGTACCACCTCGGCCATTACGAGTATCTTGTCATGCCATACGGGTTGATGAACGCTCCGTCAGTTTTCCAATCATTCGTGGATGAGATCTTCAGGGACATGCAGGGGCAGGGGGTGGTTGTGTACATAGATGACATTCTCGTGTACTCGCCTACCCGTGTCGAGCATGTGGCCCTGGTGCGCAGAGTGTTGCGGAGGCTGGTGGAGCACGACCTGTATGTTAAGGCAGAGAAGTGTCTGTTTTTCCAGGAGTCGGTCTCCTTTTTGGGGTATCAGTTGTCTGCGTCAGGGGTGAAGATGGAGGTAGACCGGGTGTCAGCCGTGCGTAATTGGCAAACACCAACCACTGTGAAGGAGGTGCAGCAGTTTTTGGGGTTTGCGAATTACTACCGGAGGTTTATCCGGGGTTTTGGACAGGTGGCAGCTCCCATCACGTCTCTTTTGAAGGGGGGTCCGGTGCGTCTGCAGTGGTCTGCCGAGGCGGACAGGGCGTTTGGGAGGCTGAAGGACCTGTTTACCTCGGCCCCGGTGCTGGCGCATCCGGATCCCTCTTTGCCATTTCAGGTAGAGGTGGACGCGTCTGAGGCCGGTATAGGAGCCGTGCTTTCACAACGGTCAGGCGCGCCACCTAAACTCCGCCCCTGTGCTTTTTATTCTAAGAAGCTCAGTCCGGCGGAGCGAAACTATGACGTAGGGGACAGGGAGCTGTTAGCCGTGGTACAGGCCCTAAAGGTGTGGAGGCACTGGCTTGAGGGGGCTCAACACCCTTTCCTCATTTTGACGGACCACCGTAACCTGGAGTACATCCGGGCAGCGAGGAGGCTGAACCCTCGTCAGGCAAGATGGAGCATGTTTTTGACCCGGTTTACATTTAAGATCACGTACATCCCTGGGTCACAGAACGGTAAGGCAGATGCACTGTCTCGGTGGTATGACACGGAGGAGAGGTCCGTGGAGCCCACTCCCATACTGCCGGAGTCGTGTCTGGTGGCACCGGTAGTGTGGGAGGTCGATGCTGAGCTCGAGCGGGCGTTACGCACCGACCCTAGTCCACCGCAATGCCCGGAGGGTCGGAAGTACGTTCCGCTCGAGGTTCGGGATCGATTGATCTATTGGGCTCACACGTCACCCTCCTCTGGACACCCTGGTATCGGCCGGACAGTGCACTGTCTTAGTGCCAAGTACTGGTGGCCCACGTTGGCAAGGGATGTGAGGGTTTATGTTTCCTCCTGCTCGGTGTGAGCCCAGTGTAAGGCGCCTAGACATCTGCCTAGGGGTAAGTTACTACCCCTGCCCGTTCCACAACGACCATGGTCTCACCTCTCGGTGGATTTCCTTACTGACCTTCCTCCTTCACAGGGGAATACCACTATACTGGTCGTTGTGGACCGGTTTTCTAAGGCCTGTCGTTTGCTCCCCATGCCGGGCCTTCCTACCCGCCCTGCAAACTGCCGAAGCACTATTCACCCATGTGTTCCGGCACTACGGGGTACCCGAGGATATTGTGTCTGATCGAGGTCCCCAATTTACCTCCAGGGTCTGGAGAGCCTTTATGGAGCGGTTGGGGGTCTCGGTGAGCCTCACCTCGGGTTACCACCCGGAGAGTAATGGGCAGGTGGAACGCGTGAACCAGGATGTGGGTAGGTTTCTTAGAACATACTGCCAGGACCGGCCGGAGGAGTGGGCAAGGTACGTTCCCTGGGCCGAGATGGCCCAGAATTCCCTACGCCATTCCTCCACTAACCTAACCCCTTCCCAATGTGTGTTAGGTTACCAGCCGGTTCTGGCACCTTGGCAGCAGAGCCAGATCGAGGCTCCTGCGGTGGATGAGTGGGCGCGGCACTCGGAGGAGACATGGAACGCTGCACACGTCCACCTGCAGCGGGCCCTCCGACGTCATAAGGCGAGCGCCGATCTCCACCGCAGTGAGGGACCGGTGTACGCACCTGGTGATCGAGTCTGGCTCTCTACCAGAAACCTGCCCCTCCGCCTGCCCTGTCGGAAACTGGGTCGGCGGTTTGTAGGGCCATTTAAAGTCCTGAGAAGGTTGAACGAGGTGTGTTACAAATTACAACTACCTGTTGAATATAAAAGTATTAACCCCTCGTTCCATGTGTCCCTTCTCAGGCCGGTGGTAGCTGGCCCACTCCAAGAAAGTGAGATCAGGGAGACTCCTCCGCCCCCATTGGACATCGAGGGGGCACCGGCGTACTCCGTGAGGTCCATCTTGGATTCGAGACGTCGGATGGGGGGTCTCCAATATCTAGTGGAGTGGGAGGGGTACGGTCCGGAGGAACGGTGCTGGGTGCCGAGGAGAGACATTTTGGACCCGTCTCTCCTGACGGAATTCCATCGTGGGCACCCGACGCACCCTGCTCCGCGTCCTCCGGGTCGTCCCCGAGGCCGGAGTCGGCGCACGTCTGGAGCCGCGCGTCAAGGGGGGGTACTGTCACGGTTTCGGCCGAGGCTGCCTCTCTTCCTTGTTCGGGCAGGCTTCGGCGTTCGTTGTCTCCGGAATACTAGCTGCCACCGTTGTATGTTTCATGTTCGTTTGCTTTTGTCTGTTTGTTGTGACACCTGTTCTCGTTTAGCGTAATTAGTGTCCTATAAGTTTCTCGTTGTGTTTGTCTAGTGTTGTGTGTGATTGATTTATTTCTGTCGTGTGTTGCTTGTATATTGCATTTTCGCTCGGTTGAGCTTCACTCCACTGCGTTGGAGCATTTACGCACATGTTTAGTGCGCCTTTATTTTTGTCGCCTTCGTTCACCCATGTGTTCCGGCACTACGGGGTACCCGAGGATATTGTGTCTGATCGAGGTCCCCAATTTACCTCCAGGGTCTGGAGAGCCTTTATGGAGCGGTTGGGGGTCTCGGTGAGCCTCACCTCGGGTTACCACCCGGAGAGTAATGGGCAGGTGGAACGCGTGAACCAGGATGTGGGTAGGTTTCTTAGAACATACTGCCAGGACCGGCCGGAGGAGTGGGCAAGGTACGTTCCCTGGGCCGAGATGGCCCAGAATTCCCTACGCCATTCCTCCACTAACCTAACCCCTTCCCAATGTGTGTTAGGTTACCAGCCGGTTCTGGCACCTTGGCAGCAGAGCCAGATCGATGGCTCCTGCGGTGGATGAGTGGGCGCGGCACTCGGAGGAGACATGGAACGCTGCACACGTCCCACCTGCAGCGGGCCCTCCGACGTCATAAGGCGAGCGCCGATCTCCACCGCAGTGAGGGACCGGTGTACGCACCTGGTGGATCGAGTCTGGCTCTCTACCAGAAACCTGCCCCTCCGCCTGCCCTGTCGGAAACTGGGTCGGCGGTTTGTAGGGCCATTTAAAGTCCTGAGAAGGTTGAACGAGGTGTGTTACAAATTACAACTACCTGTTGAATATAAAAGTATTAACCCCTCGTTCCATGTGTCCCTTCTCAGGCCGGGGTAGCTGGCCCACTCCAAGAAAGTGAGATCAGGGAGACTCCTCCGCCCCCATTGGACATCGAGGGGGCAACCGGCGTACTCCGTGAGGTCCATCTTGGATTCGAGACGTCGGATGGGGGGTCTCCAATATCTAGTGGAGTGGGAGGGGTACGGTCCGGAGGAACGGTTGCTGGGTGCCGAGGAGAGACATTTTGGACCTCTCTCCTGACGGAATTCCATCGTGGGCACCCGAGCACATGCTCCGCGTCCTCGGGTCGTCCCCGAGGCCGGAGTCGCGCACGTTGGACGCGCGTAAGGGGGGGGTCTGTCACGTTTCGGCGAGCTGCCTCCTTCTTGTTCGGGCAGGCTTCGGCGTCGTGTCTCCGGAATACTACCTTGTACCGTTGTTTATGTTCGTTTGCTTTGTCTGTTTGGTGTGCACCGTTCTCGTTTAGCGAATTAGTGTCCTTAATTTCTCGTTGTGTTTTTCTTGTTGTGTGTGATTGATTTATTTCTAGTCTGGTCTTGTATATTCATTTCCTCGCTTGATTCACTCCACTGCATTGACATTTACGCCCATGTTTAGTGCGCCTTTATTTCAAATATAACTTGCCATAATATTCTGAAACGTTTTATTTTTTATAAAGTTAAGTTTGAAATGGGCATGGTCTAATTAACTCAACAACCAAAAACACATATCTAAGTTTAGCTTTCTTAATGACCCAAAAAATAAATAGTTATTTCTGGTTGTTTATCAAAGTTTTGTAATATGCTTTGTAATATATCCCTCTGGTTGTGGGTCCCCCATGCTCTTCTTGTGTCGAAATACCTATGTAAGAATGCTGTTCATTGACTATAGCTCAGCATTCAACACCATAGTACCCTCCAAGCTCATCATTAAGCTCAAGGCCCTGGGTCTGAACCCCGCCCTGTGCAACTGGGTCCTGGACTTCCTGATGGGCCGCCCCCAGGTGGTGAAGGTAGGAAACAACATCTCCACTTTGCTGATCCTCAACACTGGGGCCCCACAAGGGTGTGTGCTCAGCCCCCTCCTGTACTCCCTGTTCACCCATGACTGCGTGGCCAAGCACGCCTCCAACTCAATCATCAAGTATGCAGACGACACAACAGTAGTAGGCTTGATTACCAACAACGATGAGACAGCCTACAGGGAGGAGGTGAGGGCTCTGGGAGTGTGGTGTCAGGAAAATAACCTCTCACTCAACGTCAACAAAACAAAGGAGATGATCGTGGACTTCAGGAAACAGCAGAGGGTGCACCCCCCTATCCACATTGACGGGACTGCAGTGGAGAAGGTGGAAAGCTTTAAGTTCCTTGGCGTACACATCACTGACAAACTGAAATGGTCCACCCACGCAGACAGTGTGGTGAAGAAGGTGCAACAGAGCCTCTTCAACCTCAGGAGGCTGAAGAAATTTGGCTTGGCACCTAAAACCCTCACAAACTTTTACAGATCCACAATTGAGAGCATCCTGTCGGGCAGTATCACCGCCTGGTACGGCAACCGCAGGGCTCTCCAGAGGGTGGTGCGGTCTGCCCAACAATGTATTACCGGGGGCAAACTACCCGCCCTCCAGGACACCTACAGCACCCGATGTCACAGGAAGGCCAAAAAGATCATCAAGGACATCAAGGCGAGGTCAGTACAGGTGCATCAAAGCTGGGACCGAGAGAATGAAAAACAGCTTCTATCTCAAGGCCATCAGACTATTAAATAGCCATCACTAGCACATTAGAGGCTGCTGCTGCCTATTGAAATCACTGGCCACTTTAAGAAATGGAACACTAGTCACTTTAATAATGTTTACATATCTTGCACTACTCATCTCATATGTATATACTGTATTCTATTCTATAATATTCTACTGTATCTTAGTCCATGCCGCTCTGTCATTGCTTGTCCATATATGAATATATTCTTAAATTCCATTCCTTACTAGATTTGTCTGTATTGGGTATATGTTGTGAAATTGTTAGATATTACTTGTTAGATGTTACTGCACTGTCGGAGCTAGAAGCACAAGCATTTCGCTACACCCGCTATAACATCTGCTAAACACGTGTATGTGACAAATACAATTTGATTTGTGTTTTCACTTTGAATGAAAACAAGATGCTTGGTCCTACGGTGCTCTGGGCTGGGCTTCTGTTCTGGGCAAGGTGTATCTGCGCTAAATCCCGCCTACTCCCGTGTAGCTCAGTTGGTAGAGCATGGCGCTTGCAACGCCAGGGTTGTGGGTTCGATTCCCACGGGGGGCCAGTATGAAAAATGTATGCACTCACTAACTGTAAGTTGCTCAGGATAAGAGCGTCTGCTAAATGACTAAAATGTAAATGTACTCAAATGACGTTGCTGGAGAGAGAGGAAGTAACTTAATACAGCCGCTAAAAAAAAACACGAATTCATCACACCATTTACTTCCAGCGAAGTGTGATAGCTAAATGCCTATACAGAGAATATATTGGTATCTATAATAGTGAATATGGGCCATATACTTGTTTCTAACATTTTGCCCCTCTCTTTCAGGATGTCATCCAATTGCAGTGTGACAACGTTACAGCTGGACTCAGTGAGCCAGGCAGAACACCCCTCTGTTCACCTGCTACCCTGTGAGATAGAGCATGACGGGCCTGCAGAGGTGTCCCAGTTCTTTTCAACCACCATCAAAGACTGAAAACATGTTACATAGAGGCAGCAGTAGCTGCATGCATTCTATACATAGAGCGTGGAAGACCAACATCTGATGTCACAGAGTGCAGTGTGTAGCCTACTGTTAATACAGATTACTTTAATACAGCTTGTCTCTCTTCCACATTTCCCACAGAGAAAACGGTGTCGTTCAGGGGTCGTGGGTTAAAAGGTCAGGAGGTCAGCTGTCCGCAGGGCTACACAGGCCTGGTGCTGAGAGAGGTCAACAAACCAGGCTTTGACCAGGAGGTAAACAGTAAACACTGCCAAAATCATCACTGTCTGGCCAACATCCACATAATCTACTGTAGCAGGTCAACAACTCACAAGGAATGCTGTCAGAATCTGCTCTAATCTGCCTGTATTCACCGACCAATGTCCACAAAACTCTTGCCACTGGGCAACAACTCAAAGAAGATGGCTATAATCAGTTTTTTGTGCTGTGAACCCCACACACCAACCAGGAAATATGAAACCCTTCCTTTTCCATTGTCTGCAGCAGGGCCACATACTGTATAACACCATACTGCATATTTAAACTCTTCACACACTTACAGTAATGCTATATGTGAGGTAATGTGTGTGTGTGTCCAGGACGGGACAGTGAAGGTGTCCTCAGTGTTCCATAACGTAATCTACTGGAACCTCGAGACTCCGCCCAACTCTGACGACGACATCTTCATGGCAATGGCCTGGCCAGATCTGGCAGAAGCGGTGTGTGCAATACAGTCATTTGTTTTACGAGAAGAACTCCATTAATCAAAATCGAATTATATTTGTCACATGCGCCGAATACAACAGGTGTAGACTTTACTGTGAATGCTTACTGACGAGCCCTTTCCCAACAATGCAGAGTTAAAAAGTAAGAAAAATGTGCAGAAAGGAAATAGTAACACAAAATAACAGTAACGAGGCTATATACAAGGAGTACCGGTACCGAGTCAATGTGCAAGGGTACGAGGTAGTTGAGGTAATATTTACATGTAGGTAGGGGTAAAAGTGACTAGGCAATCAGGATAGATAATAGACAGTAGCAGCAGTATACTGCAGGTAGGGGTAAAGTGACTAGGCCTCCTGTAGCTCAGTTGGTAGAGCATGGCGCTTGCAATGCCAGGGTTGTGGGTTCGATTCCCATGGGGGGCCAGTATGGAGAATGTATGCACTCACTAACTGTAAGTCGCTCTGGATAAGAGCATCTGCTAAATGACTAAAATGTAAATGTAGACAACAGGATAGATAGACAGTAGCAGCAATATACTGTAGGTAGGGGTAAAGTGACTAGACAATAGGATAGATAGACAGTAGCAGCAGTATACTGTAGGTATGGGTAAAGGGACTAGACAACAGGATAGATAGACAGTAGCAGCAATATACTGTAGGTAGGGGTAAAGGGACTAGACAACAGGATAGATAGACAGTAGCAGCAGTATACTGTAGGTAGGGGTAAAGTGACTAGACAACAGGATAGATAGACAGTAGCAGCAGTATACTGTAGGTAGGGGTAAAGTGACTAGACAACAGGATAGATAGACAGTAGCAGCAATATACTGTAGGTAGGGGTAAAGTGACTAGACAACAGGATAGATAGACAGTAGCAGCAGTATACTGTAGGTAGGGGTAAAGGGACTAGACAACAGGATAGATAGACAGTAGCAGCAGTATACTGTAGGTAGGGGTAAAGGGACTAGACAACAGGATAGATAGACAGTAGCAGCAGTATACTGTAGGTAGGGGTAAAGTGACTAGACAACAGGATAGATAGACAGTAGCAGCAGTATACTGTAGGTAGGGGTAAAGTGACTAGACAACAGGATAGATAGACAGTAGCAGCAATATACTGTAGGTAGGGGTAAAGTGACTAGACAACAGGATAGATAGACAGTAGCAGCAGTATACTGTAGGTAGGGGTAAAGTGACTAGACAACAGGATAGATAGACAGTAGCAGCAGTATACTGTAGGTAGGGGTAAAGTGACTAGACAACAGGATAGATAGACAGTAGCAGCAGTATACTGTAGGTAGGGGTAAAGGGACTAGACAACAGGATAGATAGACAGTAGCAGCAATATACTGTAGGTAGGGGTAAAGTGACTAGACAACAGGATAGATAGACAGTAGCAGCAATATACTGTAGGTAGGGGTAAAGGGACTAGACAACAGGATAGATAGACAGTAGCAGCAGTATACTGTAGGTAGGGGTAAAGGGACTAGACAACAGGATAGATAGACAGTAGCAGCAGTATACTGTAGGTAGGGGTAAAGGGACTAGACAACAGGATAGATAGACAGTAGCAGCAGTATACTGTAGGTAGGGGTAAAGTGACTAGACAACAGGATAGATAGACAGTAGCAGCAATATACTGTAGGTAGGGGTAAAGTGACTAGACAACAGGATAGATAGACAGTAGCAGCAGTATACTGTAGGTAGGGGTAAAGTGACTAGACAACAGGATAGATAGACAGTAGCAGCAATATACTGTAGGTAGGGGTAAAGTGACTAGACAACAGGATAGATAGACAGTAGCAGAAATATACTGTAGGTAGGGGTAAAGGGACTAGACAACAGGATAGATAGACAGTAGCAGCAGTATACTGTAGGTAGGGCCCCAGTGATGTATTACCATACATGGCCCATGGGTAATAACAACACATTATTAATCTTTGACAGATACACGGGCCAGTGGATGACTGACATGGAAGAGGCCAAAGCAAAGGAGATCAATCCTTACCCTCCTTTTCCTGCTGCAGCCTGAGGACTGCCTCCAAACACGTTGGTTGTGTGTTCAGTAGCCATTGCTTAGCTTGTGGAAATAGGAACAATGGGTAGACCACTCCTCACAGTCCCTAGTGTTGTAGTGGACAGTGTGTCTGTCTTTTACAGATCCATAGGGGTGAATTGTGCTTGCTTCTTCTTGTGACTTCTGTAACTATTGTACCATGTTCTTTTCCTTGTATATTTCTGTCAACAATTATACTCATATTACAGCCCATTGTGATACAGATCGTGTTGGAAGTCATTTATTGAACAGTACTCCAATGGATAATATACACTACCAGTCAAAACTTTGGATACACCTACTCATTCAAAGGTTTTTCTTTATTTTTACTATTTTCTACATTGTAGAATAATAGTGAAGACATCAAAACTATGAAATAACACATATGAAATCATGTAGTAACCAAAAAAGTGTTAAACAAATCAAAATCTATTTTATATTTGAGATTCTTCCACCCTTTGCCTTGATGACAGCTTTGCACACTCTTGGCATTCTCTCACCCAGCTTCATGAGGTAGTCACCTGGTATGCATTTCAATTAACAGGTGTGCCTTCTTAAAAGTTAATTTGTGGAATGTCTTTCCTTCTTAATGCATTTGAGCCAATCAGTTGTGTTGTGACAAGGTAGGGGGGTATACAGAAGATAGCCCTATTTGGTAAAAGACCAAGTCCATATTATGGCAAGAACAGCTCAAATAAGCAAAGAGAAACGACAGTCCATCATTAATTTAAGACCAAGTCAGTCAATACGGAACATTTCAAGAACTTTGAACGTCGCAAAAACTATCAAGCGCTATGATGAAACTGCCTCTCATGACTGCCACAGGAATGGAAGACCCAGAGTTACCTCTGCTGCAGAGGATAAGTTCATTACAGTTACCAGCCTCAGAAATTGCAGCCCAAATAAATGCTTCACAGAGTTCAAGTCACAGACACATCTCAACATCAACTGTTCAGCAGGGACTGTGTGGATCAGGCCTTCATGGTCGAATTGCTGCAAAGAAACCACTACTAAAGGACACTAATAAGAAGAAGAGACCTGCTTGGGCCAAGAACACGCGCAATGGACATTAGACCGGTGGAAATCTGTCCTTTGGTTCCAACCGCTGTGTCTTTGTGAGACGCGGTGTGGGTGAACGGATGATCGCTGCATGTGTAGTTCCCACCGTAAAGCATGGAGGAGGTGGTGTTATGGTGTGGGGGTGCTTTGCTGGTGACACTGTCTGTGATTTATTTAGAATTCAAGGCACACTTAACCAGCATGGCTACCACAGCATTCTGCAGCGATACGCCATCCCATCTGGTTTGGGCTTAGTGGGACTATCATTTGTTTTTCAACAGGACAATGACCCAACACACCTCCAGGCTGTGTAAGGGCTATTTTACCAAGAAGAAGCGTGATGGAGTGCTGCATCAGATGACCTGGCCTCCACAGTCCCCCGACATCAACCCAATTGAAATGGTTTAGGATGAGTCGGATGGCAGAGTGAAGGAAAAGGTGGTCCTCTGTAGCTCAGCTGGTAGAGCACGGCGCTTGTAACGCTAAGGTAGTGGGTTCGATCCCCGGGACCAGCCATACACAAAAAAAAAAAAAATGTATGCACGCATGACTGTAAGACGCTTTGGATAAAAGCGTCTGCTAAATGGCATATTATTATTAAAAGCAGCCAACAAGTGCTCAGCATATATGGGAACTCCTTCAAGTCTGTTGGAAAAGCATTTCAGGTGAAGCTGGTTGAGAGAATGCCAAGAGTGTGCAAAGCTGTCATAAAGGCAAAGGGTGTAAAAATGTCAAATATAAAATATACTTTGATTTGTTTAACACTTTTTTGGTTACTACGTGATTCCATATGTGTTATTTCATAGATTTGATGTCTTCACTATTATTCTACAATGTAGAAAACAGTAAAAATAAAGAAAAACCCTTGAATGAGTAGGTGTGTCCAAACTTTTGACTGGTACTGCATTTAATAGTATGTTGGACTGAAGAACTGTGTTTTATGCACAGCAATGAAGTAGTAGTGATATTCAGCCAATCGTAAAAGTTGGCAACAATGGAGATTTACAGGTAGAAGTATCACAGACAATTACGCTATTAGTGTTGACAAAATACGGTACCCTTGACAAATGGCGATTTATCTGGAATATATATCATAGTACAGTACACAAAGTATTTTGGCACTGAGGTCATAGTAAGACAACAGGTACAATATGTAAAAGACAAGTCCTGAAAGTCCTGTTTAAAATAGCTAAAACAACACCATCCCCTGTCCTTTAGGAATGCCTGCACCAGCTTGTTGACTGAGCACCGGGTCCACTCAATCCCGGGAATGGGGATGTCTGGCCTTCTCCACGTGTCGCTCCGCTATGTCTGAAAGGCGATCCTGGAGGAGGGAAACCGGTCTGGGCCTCTGACGTATCCCAGATCATTTGGAAGTATCCCTGATCATTTGGAAGTATCCCAGATCATTGCCACGGACATGCAAGACCAGGATGTCTGGTGTTGGAAGGGGGAAGGCATAAATAATGTGTCATTCTCTGTAGTATGGAGAGATAAACAGCTAGCTGTGTGGAGGCTGGCCCTCCTCAGTGTCTCCTTTACTGCGTTTGGCCGGCAGGCTGGAGTCATGAGCCTTCCTAATGTGGCGGTACAGGTCACCTGACTGCGTGTAGCTACGGTAACAGTAGCGACACTCGTAGGGGCGCTCGCGCGTATGCACGATGGCGTGTCGCCTCAGGGTGTACGCGCACGAGAACGTCTTCCCACAGACACTGCATGTGGGGACGTCCTCGACATAGTTCCCCATGGAATCCTGGAAGTAGACGGGCTGGTCGGAAGGTTGGCCCACGGA